CCCCCGCCCAACCCCCCCGCCCGCAACTTGGATGATGGCAACTCCATCCTTCCAGCTGCTCAGGCCACAGCCTTGGCGTCATCCCTGCCTCCTCTCCGTGTCTCACACCTCACTTCCCACCCATCAGGATTTCCTGTTGGCTCTGTCTTCAAAATGCATCAGAAGTTCAGCTATGTCTCACCACTGTCACTGCCACCATGGTGGCCAGGCCACCGTCACCTCTCCCCTGGATGACTGCCACGGCCTCCCAAGTCTTCTCCCTGCTTCCACTCGGGCTCCCTCCCCCCACCCACAGGGTGATCTTTTTATAACGTGAGTCAGGTCAGAGCCTCCAAGGTCTCCCCGTTTCACTCTGAATAAAAGCCCGTCTTCCAGAGGCACCCTTCCTGCCCCTGCAGCCGGTCTCATCTCCCGCACCCACTTCCCCACTCACTCTGCTCCAGTTGCTCTGGCCTCCCTGTAGCTCCTCTTTTTTAAAAAAAACATTGTTATTGATTTCAGAGAGGAAGGGAGGAGAGATAGAAACATCAGTGATGAGAGAGAACCATTGATCGGCTGCCTCCTGCCGGCCTCACACTGGGGATCGAGCCCGCAACCCAGGCATGTGCCCTGACCGGGAATCGAACCGTGACCTCCTGGTTCAACCACTGAGCCATGCCGGCCGGGCATCCCTGTAGCTCAAGTGTGCCAGGCACACACTGACCACAGGACCTTGGCACTGCCATTCCAACCTGTGCTTGGAATGTTCTGCAGACATCTGCCTGGCTCACCCCACCTTCCTTCAAATCTGCCCCAATGTCCCCTCAGTGGGCCCGCTCCCGGCAGCCTATTTAAAGTTGTGATGTACCCTCCTCCCCCCATTCCCCCATCCCCGTGTCTACCCAGCCCCTTCCCTACTTCCTTTTTCTTCATGGTCCACATCACCTTCTGACATAATATAAAACAGACTCACTTATTAGGTTTATTGCTCCTCAGCGCTGGCAGGGTTTTTGTCTGTTTTCTTCCCCAAGGCCCCCAGCGCCTACACTAGCCCTTGCCCACAGATGCTAATAGTGTTTATTGAAAAAATGCACGCATTGCCCTGAAAACATCCCTCTCCTGACCCTGAGGCCTGAAGCCCGCCTTTCCCTCCAGCTGTGGGGGAGGGGGTGGGGGCTGGGGCAGCATGGCCGATGTCAGGAGAGCGGGATTCCAACACTCACGACCTTCTGCCTGACCTTGGGCAAGGCCCTCCCTGCGGGGAGCCCCGGCTTCCTTCTCCACGAGCTGCCTGGCCAGTCTTGGGACTGGGCCCCAAGCCCTGACAGGCCCCTTTGCCAGGCCTCAGCTGAGCTCCCCAAGGTGGCAGGTGGTGGGGTGTGGGTGGGTGCCCCCAGGAGTCTCAGCAGACTCCTCGGGCTGCCCGGGGACAGGCCTGACCTCTGGGTGAGGGGCTGGGTGACCGGCCTCCAGGCAGAGCTGCCAGCTCTCAGGCAGGGAGGCCCCAGGGTCCTCGCCTTCATCCCAGGAGGCTCTGAGGGCTCCAGGCTGCAAGGGCACCTAGAGC